CCATCCTCTTTCTTGCGACCCAAGCTGGAGCTCGATCGAGAAGGGTCAACCGAAGCCCTCCTCTTTCCTTTTCTCTCTTTTCCTCGGTCACCTTTCCTCCGCTCGAGCTCCCTTTTCTCGACTATCTCTGGTCTGCAGTCAGAGGCTGGCTTGGTGGCGCGGTGCTTCGATATTCGTGCCGTGACGAGGACCCCTTCGGATCAGTCTTGCCCTTTCCCCGTCGGCCAGGTCGGTCGGATCTGGTGTGAGGATATCGATTTTCCTACCCACATCATCTCTACTCCAGACTGCCTCCTTGCTGTGGGCTTTCGAAAAGGTCGGGTAAGGCAGGCTGGTCCTCGACTCGAGGAAAGCGGCCGCGCCCGACCGGCTGACACTCTCAACCTCTGGCATCGAGGACCGGCGTGGGCGTGGGCGTGGTGTTCGGTCGCTGGACGCGGATGAGGTGGAGCGGACGGCGGTTATATCCGAGTCTCGATCCCTGGTTGAGGAGCCGCTCTTCCTTCTGTGGGATGAGCGATGGTGGCGGCGTTCTTTGGTTCCGTCCCGACTTTTGTCGCGATCTTTGACTCTGGGGGATTTTGTCGTTGCTCGTTCTCGCTCCAGATCACGGCTGCTGAGGATGTTTCGAAGCTTCGCGGACATGGCGCCCGAGGCCGTATGCCAGTCGAGAGCACGTGTCAAGCTTCGTTTTCTAAATCAGGCTCGATGGTCGAAACGCGCAGGGAGGTTGGATGGGCGATTCCGGGTTGGATGGAATGACGTGGGGCGCACACGCTGGCGCCTAAACCTTCACCTCTGGATTGCGGTGAATGAGAGAGTGGTTCAGCAGTGGAGCAAGCTCTGACGTGGGCGACAAAAAGGCGGGGACCCGTTTGGACGATGGGGCAGATGCCTAAAACCGCCCGATTTGAATGTCTTTTCCAGACCGATAATGATAATAAGAACAACAGCTGTCCCACTCCGCAAATACTGCTGGACCAGCGGCCTTTTCATCCAGACGCTTTACGGAGGACCGAGTCACCTGACCAGGATCATTGGGCAGATGGGAGAATAGCATTGTCCTCACGTGACCAGTTGAATTGGCGATACAGCTTTACAGCAGATCTAGATAACCTACTAGGGCACCGCATTGCATGAAATTTCTTGTCCATGATAAATGGACTAAAGAATTATCTGTTCGTTTTTAGAATGATTTCGGCTAGATGGGTTATAGTAAGGTTTTTTCCTTTTCTATAAGCTATATCTTGGGTTATAATATTAATATTAAACTATACTTTGCAAAAGAATAAATCCTTGGCGATTTAGTATAAACCTAGCCTAGCCGTACAATAGCGAATGATTTTTGCCTGTATATAGGGACTTGGCTCGATATTGAGAACTCTTAGTAGAGGTTAGAAATATGGCAAGTCTAGGTTGCAGCGTACGCGCAAAACGACAGGGGGACGAAGGGGGGTCCGGAAACTAATGAACTAGAGCTATAATAAAGACAGGAATGGCCCTCCATTCTCTGCCTATGTTTGCCTGCTTTTTTAAAATACTTTCTCGCTTTGTACAGCAAACCTGTGAGTCACTATTTACAACGTCATCAAGTGTCCACTATGTCATCTCCTTACATAGTTTCCAGTATGGACCATATTTTTGTTTGCGGGATTTGCTTTCGACTTGTGATTTAATGTGTTAATAACCATGTTTTATTCTCAGTCTTCACCATGCTTGCTGTTGCCGTCGCATTACTTGCAATATTCACGCCTCTGATCGCTCCCTTGTGGTTACCCAATCCGTCCAACTCTTCCTATATTGTGGACCTTGGCTATCAACTGAACCAGGGTTACATGGTTGTAAGTGCATACTCGTCTATTTAACAAGGCATCTGTGCCCTGCTACTGCCTACTGACAAAAATCTCTTCCAGAGCGACACCCTCGTTACCTTCAGAAACATCCGTTTCGCCGCCGCACCCCTCGGGCCTTTGCGCTTCAACGCTCCAGCTCCCCCGCCGGTAAACCGCACGGCAGTTCAAAACGCGAGCGACGTCATTTGCCCCCAAGCTTACCCCAAGTGGCTCACTACGGGCGCTGTCTCGCCATTCACCACCGACGACATTCCACCCATCGATCCGCGCACGTCGGAAGATTGCCTGTTCCTCGATGTGTTATTGCCTCACGGAATCTGGGAAACGCGTCAGACGAGTCGTGCGCCTGTCCTCGTGTGGATTCCTGGGGGAGGCTTTGACGTCGGCTGGAAAGACGCCAGCGGGCAAGGCCATGGGCTGGTGACGCGCAGCCAGCAGTTCGGCAGCCAGGGAGTGATTCTCGTGTCGATAAACTACCGTCTTGGTCTTTTTGTGAGTTCTGCCAGGATTTCGCTTGCACCAAGCTCTCTCTCTATGACTATAGATAGCGCTGACAAGTAAGGGATGGATGCATGGTGATGGGGTAACGCCCAACGCGGGCTTGCTGGACCAACGCTTTGCCCTTGAATGGGTCCAGAAACACATCCATCTCTTCGGTGGCGATCCCAATAAGGTGACTATCCTCGGGGAGTCGGCTGGTGCCAGCTCCGTTGAAGCCCATATCACCGCGTACGGGGGTGCCAAAGGACCGTCTCCGTTTCAAGGCGCCGTTGCGCAAAGCCCTTTCTGGCTGCCGACTTATCCATCCCCAAACTCTCACGTCGAAGCGATCCTCAGCTTTGGAAATGTCTCTTCACTTGCCACGCTCCGCAAAATGTCGTCTGCTGATCTGCAGAAGCTGAATGCGCTTCTCGTCGGGAATTCGCGACCCTTTGGAACTTTTACCTTTGGTAATTTTACTTTCTTTCTTCGTCAGGATTTCTAGCCACGCGGTGATCGACTTACTCAATTCCAGGCATTGTTCCTGACGGCGACTACGTTCCCGACCTACCGGGTAAGCTGTTTCAACAGCAGCGCTTCGATCGGAACATTTCCGTACTCACCGGCCACAATCGGGATGAGGGCTCGCGCTTCGTGCCCAACAGTTTAGTCACGGATGAAGCATCCTATGAAGCCTACCTGAAATCCCTCATCACGCCTCTGGCTCAGAATCCTGCCGCCTTGAAGACTATCACCCAGGAACTGTACCCGCCGGTCTTCGACGGCTCCCAGGGCTACACCAACCAGACGGAACGTAACAACCTCACTTTTGCGGACGCGAACGTTGTGTGCAATGCGCGCTTCATGGACCAAGCGAGCTTCGTGACGCCGACGTACGCATATGAATTTTCCGTCCCGCCCGCCGTCCACGGCGCCGACTTGTCGTATACCTTCTACGACTTTGGACAACCACCAGTCGAAGGGGTCAACACGACGGTGGCGGAGCTGCTGCAGCGTTACATTACGCGATTTGCGGAGACGGGAGACCCCAACGGACCTGGATTGCCTTTCTTTCCGCCGGCAAAGCCAAAGGCAGAGCCTACGCCGGGTCCGGGTTTGACGTTGACGGTCCAGAACCTGGGAAGCGATTTTGTTGGTCCTATGCAGGATGAGAGTGGAGTAGAACAGTTGTCAGGGCGGTGTCGATTCTGGCAGGATGCACCATATCTTTTGAAGTAGGTGGGATCATATGAATATTTTGAAGGAATGAGCGGGGGCGAGATGTAAAGATGGAAAGAAGTAAGGTTTTTAATAAAATACGTATACAAGGCTTTGAGAACTTGTTTTGTGGTTGTATGGTTAAGTACATAAAAATCAATTAGTATCCCTTGAAACTCTTTTTTTTTTGAAATATAAAAGGCTCCCTATATCTAAAAAAAATTTAATGATTTACCCGCCCTTTAACATTTATTTTATTTTTTCTTCGAAAAAAAAAATAATTTTTTATGCCTAAGGTCACAGAAACAAGTAAAGCTGTATTAAACAGCAATCTTCTCATCATGCTTTTTCATTACATGATTTGCTCTCAAATGATCCCACCTCGAGTTTTCTTGACGGCATTCCACAGTTCCTCCGTCATCTCCAGCACTTCTGCGGGCAACGGCCCTTTCCTGATCATGGTGACCGTCTCACGTATCTGCTCGGCCTTGCTGGCACCGATGACGATGCCATCTTCGTCCTTCAGCGCTGAGTGGTGCGCGATCCAGCGAATTGCGACCTCCATCGGCGTCAAACCGGTTGCCTTGACATCCGCATCGAATTTTTTCATCGCACTGTGCAGGTCTTCCGCCCCGAACAGTTTCTGCGCGGCCTTGCCGAGCGGGTGGTCATCTCCGAAGCGAGTGTTTGCGTGCTGGTTATTGACTAGCTTGCCTGTCAGGAAGCCTGCAGCGAGGGGTCTGTATGGTCCATATGGTCAATATCGTACTTTCTCTGCTTCATTGCAGGCAGCAAGACTAGGGAAGCGTCACACCTGAAGGCGTTGAACGACATGCCGTGAGCGCGTAAAATGGGCAGGAGTTTTGTCTCCATGCCGCGTGTGACCAGATTGTAGTCTCCCTGATAGCAGCTTGGTTTCTGCCAGCCGTGTTGCTCGCACAGATGAAGCATCTTTTCAAGCATTTCTGGTGACATGTTCGATACGCCCCACTGTCAAATCCGAAATCCCCGTTGTCAGGCAGAATTGACACAAAACGAAGATACTGTTTCAACCTACGGCCTTGCAGCGTCCCTGCGCAATCTGCTCATTAAATCCCTTGATCTGCTCTTCCAAAGGGGTCGAAGGATCTGCTCGATGCGCATACAACACGTGAACCCAGAATGAGTGTTAGCGAACAAGGATCTTGCTGATTATTGAGACGTGCTTACTCCCTCAGGCCTCTTCAGGCGCTGCAAGCTGGCATTGACGGACTTGTCAATAGCTTCAGGGCGCAGGTCGCCACTGCCATCGTTCTGCGTGTTGGTGTAGATCTTGGTGTCGACAACGAAGCTCCCACTCAGCTCTTTTGTCTCGCCGATGAGCTGCTCCGCCCGGCCCGGGTTGAGTGGCGGGTAGCGAGCGCCCGAATCCAGACGGCGGATACCTAGTTCTTGAAGCGTCTGGAGGAGATTCTTGACCGATTCAGGATCCTGAAAGTCGGTCAGGTCCATGCCGAATGAAGCAGTTCCGAAGATAAGATGAGGAGTCATTGTCAAGTAGCGTCGCTGGCTGAGCTCCAAATCTGCTACGGCAAAATAATTTTCAAGAGTTAGCTTCGTGCCAAAGCGGGGAGGCCTCGTGCTTATGGATGCTTTTCCACGGGGTAGGAAGACTTAAGCCGGAGCTGTATTATTAGCGGCATGCGTTATCCCCCAGACTGACTCGGTAGCAGGAAATGACATGACGCCCTCCCCTCAGAAAGCGATCGCCATGGTCGTCGTCCTAATGCTGTCGCCTAATTGCTCAGCTGCATCCCCTGCCTTTAACTAAAGCCTCCTCTAAGCCTTCACTACGCTCCCCATAGAGCTCATTATAAAGCTCAGATAAGACCTATATTATATCAAGCCCTATGGGCTTCATAGGGGGGCTTCGCGGGCACTTTACTCCGTATGGGGCTTTGGGAAAATTTTGGTATTTTTCAATTTTCTCGGGTATTTTTCATTTACAATTTCGAAATACAGATATTTTACCCCTAAATTAGAGGGTGTCATTTTATCGGCAGTGTGCGTATATATGACATGGATTTCATCCTTATTCCGCCCCCATTAATAGAGCTTGGCTTAGTTAACTAGATAATTGGCTCAAGCGCGAAAAAAAAAGGATTCATTTTCTGAGAAACTAGGACTGCATGCAGGTTGCATAGAATGTGCATGGCACTGCTGTCACTTTCCTTTTTGGTTTATGTAACCAACGACCAAGTGCTTCTTAGTGACTGTTAGGTTGCTTTCGTATTCTGCATATGCTTGCCTATAATTTGTCATAGCTTGTATTATCTTGCCTACAATTAAAAATAATTTAATCATATACTCGACAATGAGCCCTGGTAAATGAACTCATATTCTGATACATCTGTCTCTGAACGGCCGGCATTACAACCAACCCGCCATTGGTGTCTGGGCAATGCTATACTGCGCCGGCAGCGGTAGTGTAGTGGTAAGCACACCCAGGCAGCCTCCAACGGCGAAAGGGGGACCTGCCCATCCCTAGCATGGAGATCGTGGGTTCGATTCCCACCACCGGCGCATCATTTACCACAAAAATGGGCTTATCTTCCTAGTTTTCGCGCACGGCGCGGTCTCTAGTTTGTGTCTGAGTGAAAGGGGCCTCAGGCACGCTAGCTCTAGGGAAGTGAGCCATACCCGCGTGCTAGCCCGTAATCTAGCCATGTCTGCGTGCTGGCGCGTAATCCAGCAATGCGAAGTCAACAAGGAGGGGTTTTCGCTTTAAAAAAAAAAGCCTAACCCCAAATGGAATAGAACCAGTTCTATACCGAGGAAAAGGGCATGGGAAGACCATGGTAGTGGAAGCTAGCAGAAGTGGGTATCAGATAGGGAAACTGGCCTTATCCATAATGGAACTGGGGTGAGCCAGCTCACGGTGTATCTAGACCTAGGTCTCAGAAAGTGTTGAAACGTGTGATCCCTCCTTGGAGGAACCCCGTCTGTCATAGCCGGAAGGCTCTATATGGACGTTAAACTTGATTAAATAGATAAATAAATAAATAATGCTATACTGCATCGCTTAAATATATTTTACAAGGTGGAGGATCAACCATATATATATTACATATATATATGTATGTATGTATTTGACAAAAGAAATGTTCCAAAATGAGCTTTGGGCACACAAGGTCCCTATTGTCAAACTGCCCAAGTAGTAAAAGAAAAAAAATATTACTGCATAAGAAAAACACACGCATACACACACAACACACAGGTAGATATGGTTGAATGCTAACAGGATATTCATATTTTCCTTTTCTTTTCGTGGTATCCGCCTTAGTAGATTTCCTTCTCTTGCTGATTGAGAGTTCTACATGCAAAAGGGTCCGCGCCTACCTGGCGTCATGCATACTTGCGACCTCTCTACTCAGCAGCCATCCTCCATTTTGCAGCCGTTGGAAGACCCCTTCCGGGTCATACGCCTGGCTGATTTTCCACAACTTCTCCATGTTCCCCGCACCGTAGCTTGACAGGACCGCCTGTCCATCATATGCATCGTTCATGAACCTATATGCCAGATCCGAGCCATGCTGGGACGCAGACATGGCAATGCTTTGGCCCATGCTTCGAATGAGCCCCATGGCCTGCGCATCATCCTCTGCAGAATACCACTCGATTGTGACGTGAACCCCTGTGACATAAAAATGTCAGTTCAGAACAAGGTGATAGGCATGGAGGAGCTTACAGTCCTGATCCACCAGAGTCAGGTTGAGCGGTGTGTCGGATGAAGCTTGTACTGCATTTGTCGAGATGGGCTGAGAGCCGTAATTCATGGTCCAGCCCGCGGCGAACGCTTGCTCTGCGTACGTGGTAAATGCCGCGTAGCTTTCTTGGTACGTTGCATTATCCACCCGGTGTGGCAGAGAGACCACATAGTCTCTATTAAAAAAAAAAAGATTAAGAATGTCAACTGGATGCAGCGCGAGACAGTGATTGCCACATACCTCGACGGAGGAGTCTGCGGATACTGAGGATCATTATACATGGACGACAAATCCGCCAGAGTCCCGATGGTCGAATCAATCATATTTACCGTATGTGGGATGTCGTAGAACGGACTGAAGACAGACGGGTACTCCACGGGATCCAGATAGAGGAACCCGACAAAGGACTGCGGAGCGGTGGTATTCTCCGACAGCTGGTAGACAATATTCGCCTTGGAGTCGTTGCTGGCCATCTCCTGATACGCGACCAGCGCATTGAGGAGCTGCTGGTTCTTGTCGCGCGTATACAGCCGCGCCTCGAACCACATCTTGTCGATGGGAAGCGTCCTGTACGTGAACGAAGTCACGATGCCGTAGTTGGGGCCTCCCCCTTTCAGCGCCCACAGCAGCTCTGGATGGCTTTCCTGGCTCGCTCTCACGATCGTCGAGTTCGCCAGGACGACCTCGGCAGCAATCACCGACGCTGCGCTCACCCCGGCCAGGTTCGAAAACCACCCAATCCCCCCGCCGAGCGTCTGTCCCCCTACACCCGGGTTGGGGCTCCTGGCTCCATTGACCGAGACGCCGGACCCGTTCAGAGCATTGTATACATCTCCCCAGCGCGCCCCAACACCAATCGTCACGGTGCTTTTGTCCGCACTCAGCGTGATGTTGTTGAAGTTGGCCATGTCGACGAGAATGCCGTTTCTACCGACACTGCTGTGATTGACGTTGAAATCATGCCCTCCGCTCCGGACTGCGAAGGTCGTCTGTGTGAAGGTGATAATGGTCATGATTCGCGCCACGTCTTGCGCGCTTTCTGGAGACACAATACACGAAGCATTTTGCCAGCAATTGTCGGACCTACAGATGCAGAAATTTAAGAATGCTGAGAGCTTCCAGGAAAGACGTCACGTACTTTTTTTTTTATCTTACCAATTCGTTTCCGTGCGATTAGTATAGAGTGTCGACTGCTGTGGACTAATGAGTTTGCCCTTGAACACTGCTTGAGAAATGCTACACGCTTCCTGCGCCTTCTCCGTCTCGTGGGTACCGTTGGAAGAACCCCGAACAGCGCGTTGCAATGCGCTCAGTGTCTCGTAATCGCTGATGTTAAGGGCATCGGCTAGTCGCTGCCAAGGTTGAACGTCGTCTCTACCGACATTGATCGCAGAGACGGTGATCTGATGAATGATACTGGTGAGTATTGTTATTATTGTATAAACGAACGATCGCATCCTTGGCTTCTGTCGAAGACCTTTCTTAGGTAGAGCAAGAAAAGAACAACAGGGACCAGGCTGTGAGGGAAGGAGTACATCCGTATATAGCGCAGGGAAGTAGGGTAAAGACTAGTACGCCCAACGCACTCCTGAAGCATTGGTAGAATTCGTTTGATGCAACTTCACTTCCCTTCAGCTAAAATTCAGCTAGCTTGCATGCAAATTTTGGTTATTACGAAGTCGTATTTCTCAGCTCGGCCTGTGGGGGGCACTACTTATTTAGAGCTGGCAACGGTGCCATGTAGGCTTCCGACGCCTTGGCGGCTCACTAGTATATGCCATTCTGTCTGCCCTTGGAGGAGCTGTTAGATCTACCATTGCCCTAAAAAGTACTCTACGGGAGGGGGGCCAAAAATCTCTCCCTTCTGCTTACGGGAAAAAAGAGTCCCCCCGGTATGCACGATGATCGCATTAAATTAAAAAGTCTCCTCAACGTCGAACTAGAATGAGATGTCCAAATTGGCCAATTTCTTTGAAAAAAAAAAAAGCGTATGCATGTACATACATACAGAACCCCTGTTGGAGCAGCAAGCAGCCTTGGTGGCTAATTTGTAATTAGTACTTGCAACATGGATAGCAGCAAAACAGTTACGCCAGGCAGCATTCAACCTATGCTGAAATGAATGACGAAAGATAAGTAAGTAACTAACTATACTATGTACTTTGCATGGATTCCATTGCGTAAGGAAATAATGGATGAATGGAATCAGTCTTTTTTTTCAGACAGGATTTATATTTTGAAGGACCTGGCTAATCAATCGTGGAAAGACTAGCGATTCAGTAGCACAGACTCTTTCCCCTTTTCCTCCCTACGTCATTGAGTGATTGAAAATTATTGCGTGCGCTATCAGAATATCGTTTGCTTGTATTGTATATATATAGATTATTGTATAAGGTTATGCAGAAACACCAAATCTTTGAAGAAAAAAAAAGGCCTTTCATCTTTGCAAAGAGCATACCCACAATTTCTCTTTATATAACTGTAGCCGAACCAAAGCTTACACAAAGTTACGGGCCTCTTTCGGTCCATACCCTTTACTGGGCGTGGGAGTCAACTCGAACCCCTCATAACTGTCAGGCAGCTTGTTCCTCAATCGCTCCCTGCCATTCACCTGGCTCCTTGACACCAAACTATCTTGTTGACCCTGCTCCAATGTGTCATAGGCTGAGGGTCTACTTCCCCGGCTCGAACTGACGAAATACTGGGATGTAGCAGGCGTTTTGGGCAAGCGGCCGAAGAGGCTTCGAGTCGTAGGCAAGCAGGCGCATATCAGCACGCTGGAGG